AGGAAAGCACGACTTCTCTCCCTGGTGCAGATTATGCACTGATGATGATAGAGGTGTGGGGATTAGAGCAAAACCAACTAACTGTAGTCTCTGGATGGTTCATTTCACTTGAGGAATTTTGATTTCCTCACTCCTTCTCTCTTAAATGCAGAAAAGGTTGGACCAGCACGGATGGAAGAGGAATTTAGTGAGGCAGGTTCTCTCAAGGCGTAGTAACGTTTGCTTTACTAGCTTGGAAATACAAGGGGTTTGTGCCCAGCAGCTGAAATATTGAAACCTTCCTGTATGTGTCGGCTTCATACCCACCCATCCGAGAAGCTGCGTAGGGGCTGGACCTGGCTCACACACTTCCAACAACCTCAAAGTTATTTCTTCCCAACCAGGAGCTTCTGCTAAAGGGGAAGTTGTGCGAGTGGGGTTTGACAGCTGCTTGTTGTACCCTGGCAGGGGGAGCAGTGAAGGGCGGACGGACCGTGTGCTGAATCTAGGGCAGAGCTCGTCCGCCAAAAACCGCAGAGATTTGGGATTTTGTATTAGGCTGACGTGAGTCGTTTAGCCTCAGAGGGACTCAGGAGTGGGTGACCGTGGGTCTGGGATTTCTAACTCCTCTCTGCTTCCAGTCTCGAGAAGATCTGGGCTTTCCTTCAGCTCTGCCTGTGCAAACCGTTCTGCCCTTGCTCACAGCCATCCCACCGGTGTGTCTGCAAGTGCAGAGCGTGGGGTTGTCACGGTTAAAATTCAGGCTCTTGCGTGCGCCCGCGCCTTGAGAGTGCCTTGCAGGGAGGGAAAGCATTTCTTCTTTTTTTCTGCCGATAACTTCAGTGTCGAAATGTTCTGACATTCCCATTTTGGGATTTTTCACATTTGTATTAGGAATGGGAAAAAAAGAAGAAGGAGGAGCAGAGTGCGATAACATACGGCAGTGAGAAGAGACAGACGCCCTCACCACACGCAACCACGAGGCCGCTTGGGAGACAGTTCTCATTCTTTCTTTTTTATGTTTTTTTGTAATTTATTTTTCAAGTGATCTGTGAAGACTGTGGTGCTCTGGGTGACCCAGGCTGGGAGAGACTTTTCACAGCCCACCCGGGACCAACCGCAGTGGCAGTGGG